TTCTGGTACTAGGGTTCAAACTCAGGACCTTGCACTTACAGGACAGGCATAGAGCCACTGAGTTAAATCCCCAGTTCCTAGTTACATGTTCTTTGTCCTATCTAGTTTAGTATTGGTATACCACATATTTTTTTTCTCATTGAGGTTATTGGTACTTTTTAGGTATACAGTACAGTTACATTCATCACTGGGATCTTGTATTTTTACATGACAGGTCTTGGTTCTTATTTTTCCCCCATCCCTTTGTCCTCCCTTCACCCCCTCCTCCCTTCCCTATTTACAAAAACTCTTTTTCCATTTTTTCACTTTCTCATATTTTTTCTTTTCCCTTATTTCCTTTTCCCTACCTGGTATACCACATGTTATTCCACAGGCTTTCTAAGGAAGAACTTTGTAAACAATCCATTTTAAATTTTATAATGGCCTCAGTTGTGTGTTAAGCTAGCTAAACTTAAAGCAACTAAAGTTAACCTTATCAGAACAAAATGTAAAAGAAATTTAATTAGAAAGTTCAAAGAGATAATAGTAGAAAAAGAAGGTTTAAAATAATTGTCATGTGATCTGAGTAAGTTCATATCTTCTCATTCTAAGTGTGAGGAAGGACACACAGAGTTCTCTGACCACAGCAAATGACAAGCCAAAGGAATTTAATCTCACAAAAAGAAACTTAAGAGGGAAAAATTATCCAGGATACATCTAAGAGGATTTTAGAACTTCTGTAACAAATCTTTTAAAGAAAAAAGCAGAGATCCACATTGTTTTTAGTTTAGAAAATAACATTCATTCTCATATTCCCTTTTTCTGTTAAATGAGCAAAATACCTCAAATTTTTTTGCATGTATTGAAGCATTCAATTCATTAATTAATTAAGAGGCAATGAAGGGCTGGGGATTTAGCTCAGTGGTGCTGCCACCTGACTTGCAAGCACAAGGTCCTGAATTCAATCCCTGGTGGAAAAAAAAAAAAAAAGAAAAAGAAAACGGGCAGTGAAAACTGTCTTTAAATATCAAAAATGACAAAAACTAAGCAAACCAAAACAAACGAAAAAAGGATTAAGCCTAGACGATCTCTTAAAGCATCTAGCTGTGAATCCTTTGTCTTCACTGAGCAAGACCCTGAAGTCATAAAATTCCAGAAACTCTCAAGCACAAAGATATGAATATCCTAAGAGAGGTTAAAACAGGGATCAAGACACCAAATACAGAATTTTCCAATTAACCCAACTTTCTCTTTTTTTTTTGCTTTCTTTTTTATCTTCCTTCCATCCCATTCATTCATTCACTCAATTAACCTAACTTCTACCAGCAGTTTTTCTGCTAGGAAGAATTTTTGAGACCACCTCCACAATAAATGTAACTAAAGTTAATCAATAGATGCTAAGGTTTGTCTGAGACTGGCTTTAAAATATTTTAGTAGAATTGCTTCTCGGCCTTCTGGCTAAGATCAAGCGTAAAATATTTAGTAGAAAAGAAAGAGGACAGGTGAAGCAAATGCAGGAAAGCTTTATAATTACTAAATGTATAGGGTGGGCACATGGGAGTTTGCCAGATTATTCTACTTTTGTTTGTGCTTGAGAATTTCCATAATAATATTTTAAAAAGAGAGCTTAGGAATTCTCTGGACAGACGACTAACATTTAGAATTTATAAAAAATTAAAAAAAAATATCCTGCCAATAAAAGAGCCAATCACTAAATGGGTAATGAAATGAATACTCACTTTTCAGAAGTACAGTGGGCCCTTGAGTTATGAGCAGCCTCACATATGAAAGACTTGGGTTATGATCAGAACTTTAGTTTTGACTTACAACCAAAGTTTTGAGTTACAACCTTAATGCCAGCTGGTTGTGCAGTTGTAAACAGACTCTTGATGCCAGAAAAGTGTATGTAAGCATATGTGTCAGTCTGAGCCTAAGTGCACCTCTCTATAGATGTGATTTTGGTTACTGCTTTACATAACTTATGATTATTGCTATCAAAATGGCCACAAAAAGCTAGAAAAGAAGTTATGGAAGGAAAGGAATCACAATTGAAAAGAATGAAATTGTGAAGAAATATGAGGGTGGCGTTTGTGTGACCAAGCTTGCCAATATGTGCAGCATGTCAAAATCCACCATATTGACAACCTTATAGAGAAAAGATTTCTATAAGGAAGTTAGTGTTGCTAAAGGTGTTACTCAAATTAGTAAATCATGATCAACAATGTTAGGGTAGAAAGGCTACCATTAGTGTGGATAAATGAAAGGCAGATGGCAGATTTATAGCCTGAGTCTGTAGTTTGTGAAAAAGCTAGGGCTATAAATGTAGATCTTGTAAAGGATAATCCATCAATGAGTGATAAAGATGAAACATTTTGTGTCAGTAAGAGTGGTTTTACAATTTTAAAGTGAGAAGTTAGATTCATAGTATAACTAGGTATGGTGAAGCAGCCAGCGCTGATAAAAGGACTGCTGAAAATTACATACACCACTTCAAAATGATTACACAAAGAAATGGCTTTTGCTCTCATCAAGTTTTAAACTGTGGCCAGGTGTCCCTCTCCTTCCTCGGAGGCACAGAGATACACTATATTAAAAAAAAAGTTTTCAACTGTGATGAAAACTTTTCTTGAAGAACATGCCCAGAAGAATATACATTACCCAGCAACAGAAGAAAATGTCAAGTCACAAGCCTATGAAGGATAGGCTAACCTTATTGCTATGTGCCAACTTGAGTGGTGACTTCAAGAGAAAGCCTCTCTTGGTTTATCACTCTGAGACCCCAGAGTATTCAGAAAACAAAGTAATGAAGAATAGCTTAGGGGTCAAGTGTGGATCTAATGCAAAAACTTGGGTAATTAGTATTTCTTTCTGAGTGGATCAGGGAGGCTTTTTGTCCTACTGTTAAGAAATACCTAGAGGACAAAGGTTTATCACTCAAGGCTCTCCACATCATGGACAATGCTCCTGCTCACCCATGAGATTTGAAGAAGAATTGCCTGAAGAATTCCCATGGCTCTCAGTTGAGGTCCTCCCACCTAATATAAATCCTCTACTGCAGCCTATGGACCAGCAGGTTATAGCTAACTTTAAGAAGCTATACACCAAGGAACTGTTCCTGAAGTGCTTCCAGATGGTTTCAGATACAGATTTAACCCTTCTGGAAGGAACATTATAACAACCTTTTCTGTGTGAGGTCTCAAAAAGCTAGAAATAGAAATTCTATTTGACCCACCTACCTTCTCAAAAACAGTTAAAAGACACATTACAGTGATACATGCATACCTATATTTACAGCAGCACAATTTATAATAGCTCAATTTTGGAAACAGTCTATATGCTCAACAATAGATGAATGGATAAAGAAAATGTATTTACACACAATGAAGTACTACTGTGCCAAAAAGAAAGATTAAACGAGTCATTTGTAGGAAAATGGATTCACACTGAGACTATTTCATTAAGTGAAATAAATCAGACACATTTAAATCCTGCATGGTTTCTCTTATATGAGAAACCCAGAATATAAATGAAGAGCAAAATAAAAAACACCCTAGGTAATAGGAAGTAGGGAGATCTTTTTCAAATAGGGAGGGGGATAAGAGATGGAGGGAGAGGGAAAGGAAGGAAAAGAAAGAGGATAAAAAAGAATGGAAGAAAAAAAAAGGAAATAGAGTCTCTGCAGATGGGAAGGGGAACAAAAGTTGGAGCAATCAGGGAGGCGTGGGGGAGGGAAAAGGGATGAAGAAGGAATTAAGATTCTCCATATACAAACTCCTCCATGATAAATGTAATCATTATGTACTGTAAACATGTATTAATAAATTTTTAAAAATGAAATAAAAAAGAGCTTTAGGACTCTGATGTGAATAAACTATAATAGTACATAAGATCCTAATGAGATAATTGACAATGTGAAATAGGAAGAAAAGGGCTAAAGGTGTAGGAAAGTGGGAAGGGTAGGGGAAAGGTAATAAGGGAAAAGAAAAAAACAGAAGAAAATGAAAAAATGGAAATAAAGTGTTTGTAGATGGGGAGAGGGGGTGAAGGGAGGTCAGGGACAAGGGGAAAAAATGAGAACCAAGACCTGTCATGTAAAGGTACAAGATCCCAATAATGAGTGCAACTGTATTGTATACCTAAAATGTATCAATAAACAACGAGGAAAAAAATATACAAGAAAATGAAGCATGGGGTTCAGCATGCCACTGAGCCATGAAGATGTCATCTGGCAAGGAGTGCATGAGGGCACCAACTACTGACAACACAGAAAACAGGGGCCTCAGTTCTACAACAGCAAGGAACAAACCTCAAGGAGGATCCCCATCCTCAGAGCCCCAGACAAGAATTCCACCCAGCCAACCCCTTGACTTCAGCTGTGTCATACGCCAAGCACAGCAGAGACCTAAACATGCCACACTGGACTTTTGTCCTCTGCTCGGATGTGACTAATATGTAGGTGTTGTCTTAAACTGCTGTTTGTGATCATTCATCACACAGCAATAGAAAGCTATTGCACTGGGTCATGGCACATGGAGGCTCATTGCCTTATTCTTGTACAAGTGTGAATTTGCCACGGCCATCATAAAAGTTTAAAGTACTGATTTTGAGCCAGGCATGGTGGCTCACCCCTGTAATCCCAGCACTCAAAAGGCTGAGGCAGGACTGCCATGAGTTTGAGGCTGGTTCAGGCTACGTAGTGAGTTCAAGGCCAGCCTAACTACAGAGCAAGACCTTGTCTCAAAAGAAAACAAAACAAAACAACAACAACAAAAAAACCCAAAAACAACAAAATATTTAAAAAAAAGAGCTTTAGGAATTATAGCTCATCAATAATATAGACCTACAGGTCTAAGAACAGGATGGAAAGCTTTGGTGAAAGATAGTAAGGCCCAACTGGATGCAGGAGCACAGGCCTATAATAATGATGATGATGATGAAAATAATAAAACAAAAAAAAATTAAAAGTCAAAATGAAACAAAACAAAAAATAAGACCCAGGGCAGGGGATTTAGCTCAGTGGTTCCAGCGCCTGCCTTGCAAGGGCAAGGACCAGAGTTCAAGCCCCGGTACCAAAAAATAAGACCCCATAAAACAGTAAGGCCCAATCTTAAATCTGGATCTCTTTCCTAGATTTATAGGAACCATTTCACTCATCTTTCTCAAAGGAAGGAAATTATACAAACCTACACACTGTCCTAGGATATGAAATCTGTAGCAACATAATACATGTTCCAACACTAGACTAAAACTAGTGAACTCTATATGTTGGTAGTTGGTAGTCCTGTGCTGAATACAGAGGTTGTTTTACATGCATTTAGATTCTGGATTAGCTTTTACTTTGAGAGAAAAAGCAAAAGAGTATTAACTCCAAGAATTCAGATTCTCTCATTGTTTTTGCAGATCTATATATACATTTTTAAAATGGAGATTGACTTCTGCCCTACTAGTTATAAAGGCAAAGAACATCTCCTACAGAGATCATACACCAGCAGAATTTATCCTTCCCTCTGGCAAATAAACCACTCTCACATCCAGAGGATTCAAGATACACTGGGCATCTTCTCAACCCTTCTGGCTGCTTCTCCACTCCTTCTCTCCCCTTCAGTATCTCAAATGGTCCTCTCTGCATATGCTTTCTCCATTGGGCCTATCATGACATGCTATGCAATATACAAGGATCCAAAAAGCAAAGGATCCTGGGTCTATGGGGACAATCATTCTTGTTTCTATGCAAACTCTGTCATGGGGAACTACAATTTTAACCTAAGTTAATGGAAATGGACTAGAAATAAAAGAGGAGTCCGACAGCAATAAACCCTCCTCCTTTATTTTGCATACATTTCTGGCCATAAAGCCCATACTAATACTGTTTTAAAATTTTGTTCTAAACCAGATTAAAGACTCAGTTAAGAATTCATTCTAACCCAGATGCCTTGGAAACTAAAAATGAGGTATTTGGTTTTCTGTCACAAACAGTAGAGGTTTAGGCAAACTGTAGATATGGCCTAGCAAGTAAAAAAATAGAAGTACAGTGAAATATAACACAGAAATATGATCTAACAATAAGCTGCCATGACACCCTGAGAATCCTTATTGTAGCCAAAATAAATCCATCTACTCTGTCTCTAAAAGCAAAGGCCACTATGATTTTTCCCACATTTTTACAAAGAAAAGACAAATGAGAACAAAGAAGTGAATGAATACAAGAGAGACTACGATCATTCTTAGTTCCTTTTCCCCCTATTCTAATAAAAAAATACTTATCAATGGCCTGCTATTTCCTTTACTTTCAAATTATCTTAGAAAGACATTTAGAATTACAGCAACATCAGCATTTACAATTGAGTTTATGTAGGAGTACTGTCAAGGCTCAAAATACCATGAAAGATCTTGAGAAAAGTTTTCACATAAAAAACTGAGCAATTAGGTTAGCCAGGCCCAAAATGATAATGAAAATGTGGAAGATTAATTTAGGCCATGTCAGACGTTCTTCCTGGTGGAGGGAAATTATATAGATGAGAGATGGATATATGAATACAAAGGCCAGGCCGCATGCTGCTCCTGAGTATCTGTAAAATAAAAGCTTTGAGGGTTAATATTCACCTTGTATTTTAATTTTTAAAATTTATAATAAAGGTAAATGTAGTACAATCTAAATCATTCTCAGACTCATATTGCAACAACACTACTTTTGATTCATTTGTTGCTGATATCTGGGTTTAAACATTTTATTGCTAATATAAAATATTATGTCCTGTTCATCTTTAAGCATCTACTTGATAAATAGATTTTATCCATCTTTCAAATCTCCATAGTTTCTCTGTGTTTCAGTGATTGTGGCTACTTCCTCAGAAACATCTGGAGATGGGTTTCCTATCTTTGATCTTCATAAACTAAACTAGTTACATATTCTGAGTTTGGGAGAGACCACTAGCATTTGTTTAAGAATGAGAACAGACAGTGCCTCCATGGCATAATCATGGAAGATAACAACAAGAGTACCTCAACATTAGCTGGTGAGAGAGAAATAGGCATTCTTCTCCCTTTCACAGTTTTCTAGAGAAGTAGTTTAATAGGAACTTGTAAGTCCATTATATTTAGTAAGCATCAGATACTAATCTCTCTCATTTTTTTACTTTTTTAGGTAAGGGTGAGTCAGCCCTGCTGTCTTTATTAAAGAATAGAAGTCAAGTCATTCGAACCCCATTTTCTCATGAGAATTGGAGGATACAACTTTACTCTGACTCTTCTCAACTGTCCTTTTTTATTTTTTTGTTTTTTTACTTTTGGTACTGGGGATCGAACTCAGGTCATTGTGCTTGTGATGCAGGCAGCAAAACCAATGAGCTAAATCCCTATCCCAACCTGTCCTTTTTAAAGGAAAGGATATTAAGGGAAGAGCCATCTAAGATCTAAACTCTTACATTCTTACAGCAATTGACATTAAAATATGTTTTAAAATGGAAATGGATCAAAGAAGATAGGACACAGCTTTGACATAAAAAGGACTTGCTAGGTACTCCCAAGAGTACATATTAAAAATATTTTTCACTTTGGATAAAGAGAAAGAAGCACAGTGGAATATAATGAGAAAAAGAAGGGGGGGTGAGGGAGAGAGCCAGAGCAGAGAGAGGGAGAGAAAGAGAAGGGGAGAGGGAGAAGGGGAGAGGAAGGAGAGAGAGAGGGAGACAGAGAGAATGAGAGACAGAAAAGGGGGAGAGAGAGAAGGAAAGTGGGAGAGAGAGGCAGAGATGGAGGAGAGGGAGGTACAAGGAAGGGGAGAGGGAGGGCAGGGAAGAGAGAGAGAGAGAGACAGAGACAGAGATGTGACGGAGACTAAAGGATAATGGGGCTTTCTAGAGTCAGTTCTTCATCAGAATAAACAGAAATGGAATTTGATGAGCATCTCAACTGATACCAGGGAACTACATTTGAACATTATAGTTTAGGAATTTCATATAATTAAAACAATAACAATGACAAAAGCAACACAAAAAGCATGAAAATAAACACCAATATACAAAGGGGTACAATTTCTTACTGGCAGTACCTTATGATCCCTCCTATGTTTGGGTAGAAAACAGCCATGATCACGCCAGCTCCCACAATAATTATATTAAGAATGAGCACGTGGAAAATGCTAGAAGATGATAAGAGTTTAAAGGATAGAAAAAAATATAAAATAGGCACATTGTAAGTATTACTATGAGATTCTAATTTATTTTTAATATATTTAAAATATATGCCAAAATTTTCCAGTAAAATCATAGCAAAACAGGAGGTGATAATAGTATTTATGAGACATGATCATGAGACAGTGAAACTGGTCTTTTAATGCAATTATATAAGTAGGCTAAATATTATAGGCATAAAATGGTACTATATACACCAGAATTCAATTCTTCCTGGACTATCCTGGAAATATAATCCAAATCATTAATAAAAGCTATTAACCTAAAGATATATATGGAAAAACAAGAATTCTAGGAATAGCGGGGCAATAACTTACCTCAAAAAATACAGTAAAACTTATTAAACCTATCATTATTACCTAAATGGTAAAAGAAAATCATCTAAGCAGTTTTGAAAGAAGATAACTAGATATTCAGCAAATGTGAAAATCCAAAAACATTTGAAAAACATATCAGAAGGAAATACATTTTTGCAGTAGTGATTGCATTATGATTTGGGATTTCAGGTAATATTTCTTCTTTTCTATACTTAACAATTTTTTCTAAATTATTTATCTTATATTTATAATAAAAATAATTTTATATTAGTGGAAAGGCAAAATGGACAGGTTTTATTTTTCAGACTGACTCGAAGCTATTCACTATGTATCACAAGTAGCATATATGCAAAACATTTTAACTACATTTTAATAATTCAAGGTTTGGGAATCAATTTTGGATAGAAATAAATGTAAACAGATAAATACATAAAAAGATACATAAATGTAAATAGACGCTCATGCTCAAGAAATAATTCTATTTCCCCCAAAATGCTTTTCAAAAGCCAAATGTCTATGTCAAATCATTCTTTTGGTCCAAATTATCAAAGATTACTTAAAACCAGATAAAGATGAAGGAAGAGTAAAAATAAAATTATTTATACAAATAAGTATTATACATCCTGATAAATTAAGAGATACTAGGCTTCAAGATCTTACTATTTATCCAGTAATTCCAAATTTAAAATTAATCAGAACTTTTAGACACTGACAGGGCCTTCACTACTTCTACATTATAAAAAGAAAAAATTTAATGTACTTTCGAAAGTAATTGTTCTCATGAAGCCCAATATCCTTCTGAGAAGTCTTTGAGATAAAAATTATTTTCATAATAACATAAGACATAATTTGCTTGGCAAAAGGAATGGTGGGTAAAGCCGCTGATCCCTTATTATGGATAGATGCAACTGCATGTCTCTGTACTATGTAACATATTCTTCACGCAAAACATTTTCAGAAAGATTTTTTAAATTAAAAATTAAGAATTTGTTGCCAATGATTAACACTTGAGCTTTCAAATAAAAAATAGAATTTTGCATTTGTTACCCTTGTTTGATAGTTTTCTCACACTCAAAAATTTTTATGAAGAAATTGGTGGTGTAATATTAATGAATATAGGTTTTGATGATGTATAATGAAGTGTGTCAACATTTGGAAGATCTAAGAAATCGAACCAATATTGACCAAACATGATGTTACAAAATAATGCATGGGGGTAAAAGAACCAAAATGTAAGACAGACTAATAGGTTTGCAAACAAGTTTCACATTATATGTACTTTGACAATTATGAAACTATTAGTTGTCAAGTTTTGGCATAGTATCAGAAAATAGTATCTGCAATTATCTGAAAGGGATGTTTGTATTATTTTTCTGATTTTTAAAAAACCTATTTAGATGACAACAACACAGAATAATAGCCAATGCAGAAACAGAGAGAAGAACCTAATTTTCTTCTAGAAAAGCAGACCTTAGAATTTAAAATGAAAACCAATTTTTGGCAGCAGTTATTTTTCACAGAAATATTATTTGTGTAATTTTTTTTTTTTTTAAAGACAGGGTCTTGCCTTGCCTATAATGCCCAGGATTGTCTTGAATTCAAGATTCTCCTGCTCCAGGCTCCTGAGTACCTGAGACTATAGGATGTGCCACTGTGCCTGGCTTTATTATTGATTTTTAAAGAAATTAATACTTTAAAATTCTCAGTTTTATTTTCTCATATGCTGAATATTTATAGATATACCTGCAAAAACTAACAGTCTTGGGAGTGTTAATAAATTTAAAGAGCAAAAGGGGACTAAAACTTATGTTCCAAGATATGCCAAATATAGTGTTTGTAACTATAGCATAAATGATAGTGTGAAGAAATACAATGTAAACACAAAAGGGAAATCCTGTTTTCCAAAAAAAAATCTAACAGCCACCATTCTGCAAAATAAAGATAGAAAATAGGAGCAAAGCATTTGCCTAGAATTTTTTCATCTATGATGTCACTGAATTTATTTTGGTGACTACAATATAGCACAGACCATAAATACAGCAAGAATCTTATATGTACCAAACTCCAATCTTCTAGATTAGAACTTTATAAGTGCTCAATTAACTGTGTAAATTATTGCTATTATCAATGCAGGAGACCTGGCAACTTAATTTTTGCTTTGTTTTCAAGCCAACATACTTACAGATAAATTGACTGAGGGGACAATATCAATTCACTTCAAACAAGAAGTGATCAAGACCACCTATTTTCTCATAAATTCAAAAATTTTCTTCCTCTTAAGGAATTTATTCCCAATAAAACAGGGTTAGTTAGTTTTCATTAGGATGAACATATAATAAGACTAAATTTAAAAACAGGAGTCAACCAAACTTCTTCAAGAAAGCTTCACAGAAAGCCTGAGAAATACACAGAAAGTTCTTCTGGATGAACCTAACTAGCTTTGAACAGAGTTCCAAAGGGACTCACAATTCCTCAATGCTCAGGATAATTACCACAGTAATTTAAACTTGTTACATATCAAGTAATAATTTAAACTCATAAATCTCACTTTTACTTCAAAACAATTGACCATTTATTTAAAAATGCACAAATGTTAATAAACACACAAGTATTAATGACCAATAATTAAAAGTGTTGCTTTTCAGGTAGCTTACACGCCAACACAGGTACTAAATACTATAAATTCCTATGGTAATAAAAGTACAGCATAGAGCATAAATACAACAGAAGACTTATATTTACTGAACTCCAACACAGGTACTATATGTGTAGATTAACAGCAATCAAATAAGATAAATATAACTGGTATTAGAGCTAATTAAGTATATTGGAAGGAAAAAATTTTAAATCACTCTGGATAAGGGAGTGGTGTCTATATTTAAAACTCTTCTGAGAAAGGGACATGAGTGATCTATCCTTAGTAACTATTTTCATTAGGTAAATTTTTATAGCAAAAAGATCAGTCATACTGTAAAGTGATCTATTTGCACAGTCATTTGTTGCTTGGCACATCTTGCTGGTCAAGAGAAGAGCTCTTACCTGGGATAAATGTCACCAAAGATATGGCCCAACAGCTGCACACGAGCCAAGTAGCCTAAGAGCGGGTATACAGTCATCATCTGGAACAGCAGGAATATCCTTGCAATGAAGGACAGGATGTCACTGCTAGGGAAGTTGTCTAAAAAATTCTAAAGCAAGAGAGATAATGAGGTAATGTTGAAATTCAAATTTAATATGAATCATAAAATGGAATAGCTGTTACTTATTTTGAACACAGGTGGTAGTCAGTTTGTGGTGTGTGAACTGGTGCCCATTACACAAACTGCTTGTTAACTATTTTTCAATGAAGTACAGTAATTGAAAGCAAGTGTTTACAAACTTTTAAGGAAATTTAATACTATATTTTTATTCTATTTTATAAAAGTACCAGGCTGCAACTGATTTAACAATAAAACAAAGAAAACTTTTTTAAAACCTCAGAAAGACCAAGAAAACACTGCCCTATAAGGTTCAAGCATTATACCCAAATTTGTTTTTAATATTCTTAAATAGCAAATTAAATTCAATGACATTTTTTTCTTACTAGCTCTCCCTTCTTCCTCTGAAGCACTACAGCACTTTCAAAGTAAAGATTATAGAATAAGGTAAGATTTTACCTAGTTTTATCATTGTACAGCCTATTGCTAAAAAAGATGTATTACATTTTTTTCATAATCTTTTTCTTTGTTTTAATTTGGTATATCTTTTTAAAAAGTTAATTTAAAGCCAGGGATGGTCACATACACCTGTAATCCTAGTACTTGGTAGGGTGAGGCAGGTGGACACAAATCTGAGGTCAGCGTGGTCTACCTACTGAGTTCACAACCAGTCTGAACTATGTAGTAGGATTGTCTCAGAAAACTGAAAACAAATCCAAAACCAAACCAAATCCACATAAAACAAAACCAACAACAAAAGAAAAACCAAATAAGACAAAACCAGCCAAGCCCCTTTCCTTTCTGAGGAGGTGCAAGAACCCACTTTAGTGGTGGCACACAATGGGAATCCCAGCACTTGGGAGGCAGATGCAGGAGGACTGCCATGAATTTGAGGCAAGCCTGAACAACAGAGTGAGATTCCGCCACAAAAGACCAAAATAAAAATTTTTTTTTCTTTCCAATACAATACCCCAAGCATGTGAACTTTATATAGATTGTTCCTATCAAGCAAATTCTCAGCAAACATTTGGCTGCCAAGTACTTCTAGAATCAAGAGAATAAGAACATTTCAAACTATCATAACATCAATAACCTCTTTCTCTTATACAAATGAGAATACTATTAATGTCATTCTGCTGAAATAAATCTTACAATTCTGCTTAATATATACTATACTCTTAGAGCAATTTTTTAATATTTTTATTTTTATTGGTACGTTTGTAAAGTACATAATTACATATCTCATGTAGAATTTGTACCTGTACATAACACATTTTCATCCCCTTCCTCAACTCCCTTTCTGTCTCTTGGTCCCCTTCTCCTTTGCAGAATATCTAGCTTCCTGTTTCCTATTACAGTATTCACCTCCAGCAGTTTCTTCTGACTAGAAAATCACCTATGAAATACTGTTTTTCATTAGAAAAATTTCAGTCATTACTTACTATATTATTCCTAAGCTTTTTTTCTTTGTGTAAATTATGGCTTTTATTGACATGGATCATTATTATTGTGTACAAGAGCAGACTTCCTTGCAGTGTGCAGCTGAGCTCACTGTTTGCAGAAACCATGTGCCTGGGGTGTGACTGTGCTTCTTAGGCTCATAGTTTGCTTTTGCAAACTCTCCAGGATAATAAACCAAGGCAGCTGCAGACTAGGGTATCTTCAATCTAATAGATGCTACTAAGAAGTTTAACAGCAGGGAACTGTGCTTTAAGGACCCCAAGATAAAGAACAATAGATTAAGTCCAGCATGTAGTTTAATATGTATTTTTGAAAATAGTCTCACCTAGTTCTCCCAGCCATGCTGTGAGGCAGGTGGAGGAATCCTTTGCATGTATGTGTAGAATTTAGTTGGTTGTTTGAGACAGGGTCATACTATGTAGTTCAGGCTGGCTTTGAACTATGTAGGCCCGGCTGCAAACTTGAGGTGATCCTCCTGCCTTAGCCTCCTAAGTAGCTGGGATTACAAGCATGTACCATTATGCCTGGTTGTGCCATGATTCTTTAAATGCAATATGGCTTTTCTTGGTGCTAGCCTAAAGGGGATATTGTCCCATGAAAGGGTGTTGCTTTCTCTTAATCCATTTTTCCCTGTGTGTGTTCCATCCTTTTCCTCCTGTTTCAGCTTTTGTGAATGCCACTTGCAGGACCTGTATCATTATGTCTACTCTCCTGTGACTGAGGGTGGCTCTTGGCCCTTTCATTATCTGTAACTAAATATTTTGGTCTCTTTTTGATGGATGTTCTTCTTGTGCTGTATCTTTCCGTTTCTCTTCCTATCACTTCATTTCTCTTTTGCCCTCTTTCCTGCTCTGCCTGTTTCAACTGTCCCTTGTGCAGAAATGAAATGTGGCCCTAAGAAAAATAGCTTTTATTTCAGAACAGGGCTTCATTTTCTCTGTTAGGTCTTCTGATATGGATGAATGGATGGAGATCTCCAACTTCTCTTTCAGTTCTAGAGCTCAATATGAAGATATCTATATGTGAATCTTGATTGTTTTTCTTGTAAGAAGCATTTTCCTGGTGCATTTCCTGATTCCTAAGGGAAGGCAGTAAGGAACTGTAATCACTTGTCACTCTCTGGAAAAACCAGAGTGAGAGATGACCAGGATGTCTAGTTCACAGCCCTCATTCTCCCGGTGGCGGAACGGCCAGCCATCAGCCACTCTCCCACACCTCATGCAGGGTGAGATGTAGGCAGTCTCTGGACTGGGCTCCGGGCCTCAGCCGCAAGACCTTTTCCTAAATTTTTGATTAATTAGATAACAAATATTTTACTTACTGCAACTTTTTTTTTTTTTGGTAAAATATTTTCTTTGCAGTATTGGGGTTTGAGCCTGGAGCCTTCACACTAAACTTTAAAATTCTTTTTGAGATAGGATCTTGTTAAGTTTTGAAGTTGACCAGACTGGGCTCGAACTTGGGATCCCCACCCCTGGCCCCAGCCTCCCAGAGTGCTAAGCTTATAAACATGTGATACCACACCCAGCAAGATTTTTCTTTTACATTCATTCTCCCCTCCCCATTCTTGTCTATCTCTTTCTCTCATTCTTGTTTTGAGACAGGTTCTCCATCTGCAGTACAAGCTGGATTGCTATGATGCCCAGACTGACCCTAAACTCTAGATCCATCTGCCTCAGACTCCCAGGTGCTGAGATTACCACATTGTGCCACCATGCTTGGCTGTCTAACTCTTTTTAAAAGCCAAATACTGTCTTCGTTTTGCTGCCTGCTACTCAGTATCTAAGTGGGAATCAGATCTATCATTAGAGATGAACAATTTATCCAGGGCATTTTCAGATCTAGACTATGGAAAATAAGTGGATTTGCTGTGGATATTTTATAAATTCACGAGACTCTCTGGTAATTGTTCTCTACACAAAGATAAATATACACATGCAACACGCAACACTAGTCATTTATTTGCATACACAAGGTGCCCAGTATTCAGAGTACATCTAAAATTCAAATGATGTATATATTATAAGATTTAATAGAAAAGGAAACAATCTCAGAAAGGATGGAGGAGGTGCCAAAATTCATGCACTTCAAATAATGGTAGAGATGTATTCAAACCCTGGCCTGTCTGTTATTAAATCTTGCTACTGTATTATCCTGCCTACTATGCATACATACAGTTATAAACAAGAGAGGGTACACAGTGCCTTACCTGCTCAATGCAATCTTTGGATAATGGAGGTGAAGGAAATGAAGCAAAAACCAAGACTCCAATATAGAGGTAAGTTAATGTCACCAGCATATAAGCAATGCACAGGTCTCTCACCTATAAATACAAAATATAGTTCCTACAATATGAAGAAAATTGCATCAACTCTATTTAAATACAGTAAACAAGATTGAAAATTACAAAATTTATCTTTTTTTACCCCCTTGTATCCTTTCTAGCCAATCTGTTCACAAAAAGTAACTAAAACAAAATCCACATACTTTACAATTAGCATGCTAATTTTTTTTTAAACTAGTCTGGAGTATGTAGACTAAGCTAACTGTTGGCAGATTTAGGAAGCTAATATAAACTGTGGTTTAACATGGCTAAAATTCTGACAATTCCAAAAGGTAATTTATCAAATTATTAAATATTTAACTACAATAATAAGGCTAGGGGACAATAAGAAAGCAAGTATATACCACCTTCAGTAGGACCTACAGATTTAAAAAAAATTTTCTTTAGTAAATTAAATCATCAAAGTACACATAGGCCACAAGTGATTAGAACATATAAAAACATATTTAATAAAGGAGAACTAGTTAAAGAGCACTAAACAAGTGTTAAGAACAAGCTTAATAAACCTAAACAGTAAACAAGGAAATCAAAAGGCAGCTGTTCAAATAGCTGTACAATGTTATTACTGGAATCAGTAAACAAACAGAACATTAAATAAAGTGGGTTGCTTCTTCCCACTGCTGTTCCATCCTCCCACACTCCAAGATACTTAATGCAGCCAGCTGTCGGATCTAAGCAGAACAGATTCCACAGCTTGCAGACTGTCTCCATCACCATTACAGTTACAGCCAGACAATTTAGCACAACTAAATTGTGGCAATAAGCCTATTCATTCTTCACTTTATTTTTTGGTACCGGGGGTTGAACTTGGGTCCTTGTGTCATTCTTCACTTTAAACACAGATTACTTTGAGAGCTAAGAAAATAGATTAAAATTTATATACAATTTTTTTTTTTTTTTTAGTTTGATAAGAGAGTGAGAATGTTTGGACATTTGGATTAAGAAACATTTCTGATTTTCTGGATAATTTTTCTCCCTAAATGGGCTAAAGCGGTAGTCAAGGTTTATAAACTTGAAATGCTATAAATTCAGTTAAAAAGCAATTAACAACAACAGCAAAGCAAGTAACAAAATGAGAAACCTTTATCAGGACCAAATTGACAATCAGCCTGAAACAAACCAGAGATCCCATATACTAAATTGGAGGGACAGACCCATGGAGTTGAAGGCTTACGTGGACCGTTCTTCTGCAAGAGCTTACTGTTCAGGGTTGAGGAAGGGAAGATGATCAAACCTCCAGAGGGAGGTCTTAACATTCATCCTCTCTGATTCAAGCTCTAGGGCCTTGGTATGCTAGACTTCAGTTATCCATAGACTGACCTTAAATTCTTGTGTGAGAGAACAGAAATGAGCCAGACAACACCTAGTTCCCATCAATGAGTAGTAATCTTCCATTATGATGTTTGAAAGTCATTCTACCCTCAACCTAGCCACTTAAGAACAGAAGTGGCTTGTTAAAAAAAAGAAAAACTTAGGGGGCAAACAGTTGTGCCAAACAGAGCTGTACACTATAAAAGAAGAGGACAGCCACCATTCCATGGGCAGACTTTTAATTTATATATCACCTGGTCATGACATTATTTTGGTCTGACTTCCTGCAAAAAAGTGTACTTTAGAATATACTTTGAGGTAAATCTAATGAAGATGCAAAGATGCAAAGGCTAAGGTACAAGGGCTTCCCAATAAGACAGTTTCCCCTTCTGCTTCCTTCTTTTTATGGTTCTGTATACATATCATATATATCAACTACTACACTGTATGTAACTATCATTAATTTGTGTTATAAAAACAATCCATGTTAACACTACAAATAGTATCAAGTGGGCATAAAAAGTCTCTAAAAAATAGCCAAGTTTGCAGTTCTTATATAATTTTTTGGAGTCAGGGTCTCACTATGTAGTTCAGACTGGTCTTGAACTCAATGTGATTTTCCTGCCTCAGTCTCCTAAGTGCTGGGATTACAGGTATGTATCACTATGTTCAGCTATTGGTATTTTAACTTGACCCAAACCACTTTACTATGAGATTCTGAAGATAGGGATTTTGGTCATCTTTATATACCCCAATACCCAGGATAACACCTGGCACACAGAAGGAACTCAGTAAGTGTGATAAATATAATAAACACATTGGCTTAATTTATTAATTGCTTGGTGTCATGCTAAGCATATTATACATGATATTTTATTTAATCCTTGTAACAACCTTATAATGTAGATATAGTCAATTTCTTCACTTCATAGATGAGCAATCTAAGGATAAGAAAGTTACAAAACTTGCTTGTGGTTACAATATGAGTAGCTCGTGAAGCCAATATTTCAATCAAGGTCTTTATGGTTCCAAATTGCATGCCTTAAGATACAGAGATGGACAGCTTGCCAGTCTGCAGTATACTTATGTCACAGTTCATAAACAATAATAATAAAAAATGAAAGAGGCAATAACCTCTGAATAAGAGTATGTAACAGAACACATAAAAAGCTACACAAGAAATACAGTACTAAAATGAGAAAAGCTCTATTTCACAGTACTCTATTATATATTCAGTAGAACTGGGTTAGGAGATGCCTATCAGTTTTCATCTGAAAATACTCTAATAAACAGAAATGATGATCTTATATCCCATAGTAAAGGGTAGAAAAAGCTATCATTTAGAAGATGAGGCTCAAAGTAAAAATATATATTTAAAAGGAGACTCATATTACCATGAACTGGTAATATGTCAAGAAACCTCTATCAATAAGGTAATGTACCCTACTTCATGAATAAACAATGGCTGGCAGGGTTGATGGCAGGTTCTGATTCAAACACAGTGAAGAAGTAGCAAGAGGTTAATCCACATTTCCATGTAGTTATAGGCACTATTATGATGACAATGAAGGAAGTGGATGATCTTCAGTCCTCTTCTCCAAGTTATACAAATAAAAAAGTATGTTTATTGAAAAAATGCACAAATATTGAGTTAAACTTAAAAAATCAGGAAAATCTGATCAGTACACTTGTTTAGGGGTCTTATTTTTTTCTTCACAGATGTCTTTAGATCCAAGTCCAACAGAGTTATACAGAAGTGGAGGCTTTTTTATTCCTTCCTTTTCTTTTCCACTTTCATAACTTTGTTTTCTGAGTTTGGAATGACTAACTCAACATTAACATTGTGAATTCAGAGTCCTTGGTAAGCCTCACATTTTCTGACTTCAATCTCCCCAAATACTGTTATCATAGTATTAACAGGATTTCCATATGTCAAAGAGGTGAAACCTACTGAAAGGTACAACCATTAGATAATTTAAATGACAAAACTTTTCTCAAAATATAGTATCCATTTAGCTTGTCTTATGATAATATAAGCCAACATCAACATAATCAAAAGGACAAAACATATATACTTATATATAAAGTATTTAGAATGTTGATGACACATAGTACTTCATAAATGTTCGTTTTCTCATTAGTAATTACTAATAATTTAAGAAGTTGACATGAGGCACCGCTGGTTTTTTGAATGCTAGACCATCACTTCATATCCTAATTTTAATTAAGACAGCAATATCATCCATTTAAACATTTGTCTCAGAGCTTTTGCTTTAAAACATTTTCCGTAAGTGACAAAGTTGAACCACCACACTTCTTTATTTGCACTTTGCTTCATTTGCTAACATTTTCTCCTTTGTGCTTTCAATGTTGTGAAGTATTTCTGAGAATTTTTTTTTGGTACCGGGGATCAAACTCGGGATCTTGCTTGAGGCAGGCGGCAGCACCAATGAGCTGAATCCCCCACCCTCTGAGAATTCTTTTAATGAGCAGTTTTCTGACAGAGGGATGTCTTCCTTCTTGTCATCACAACCCTTTCAAGGTTCATGAAGAGAGGTTCACTTTCCCTGAATTCCTCTTGCTGCATCTCTAATCTCTTCAATGGCAGTATTGGCAACATTTCCACAATCAGACATTTCTTTTATTAACTTCTCTTATGTTCTATTTAAATTTCATTTTCAACTTTATTACTCTGTTTCATAGTAGTATTTTCACCTTTGTTTGACAATTACTTCTTTTAATTATCAATGTTTATAAAATAGCATGTGAGCTTATTGCTGGCACCAAGAGGTAGCACAACTACTTACTGTGCAGGCTGTATGTAAAGCGAACAACAAGCACAATGTCCAATCACTAACAGACTTTGAAAGAAGTGACATGACTGGTCACTAATCATAATATGTACCTCTTGGGTACATGTTGATTTGTGAAATGAAAAGTTAGCAGCTACTACTTTATGCAAGTACTCAGAGCTCAAATCCCATGGTAACTGAAATTAGCATCATGTTGATGGGCTACAGATATAATTTAAACCTTAGCAACTGAAATTTGTAAATGTAGGAACCATACAACATAAGACCTGCCTGCAACTTAATTATTTTGAGGCAGTTTTCTTGTAAGATAAACTAAACACAAGCATGAAAAAATATGTATGAGTGGTTCAGATTGAAACATGAAATGACACAGGCCTGTAATCCCAGAATTCTGGGATTTACCTATCTACCTATTTATTGAGATATTGGGGTTTAAACCCAGGGTCTTGCGCTGTTACATCCTGAGACTTTTTTTCATTTTTTAAAATTTTGAGACAGAATCTCCCTAAATTGCTAAATTGCTCTGGCTGGGCTTGAACTTGTGATCCTTATGCTTTAATCAACCAGAGTGTTGGATAACAGGCATGCATGTATTTCCACCCCAGCCCATTTGCTTATTTATTGTCTAAGGTTGCTTTCATGCCACAGCTATAGAGACAGATACTTGCAACAAGACCATATAGCCCATAAAGTCCAAATATTTAAAGTGTGAACATTCACAGAAAAAGTTTGCTGACTACTATTCCATGGTTCAAACTTAAAAATTAAGATCCTGCAACAAAGTGCATAACTCTCCTTCAAATATAAATTCCCTCAAATACTGACTTAGAAAGTCTATCCTCAGAAGATACAGAAGTCAATTTTTCAGATAATTACTCACGTTGTTTTCTTGATTCTTATTGTTTTTCAGGAGTGTAATAATACAATTATGAATAAAGAAAGCAAGGGTAAGAACTCCAGCCAGCTGTGGAAACTGAAATCTTATCTCTAGGAGAAAAAAAGACAAAAACCAAAAATTTAAAATTAACAAGCAGAAAATGAATATTAGTAGCCATAAAAAATTAGTTTTCTTAGGGGCTGGGGATTTAGCTCAGTGGTGCTGCTGCCTGCCTCACAAGCGCAAGGTGCCAAAACAAAACAAAACAAAAAAGTCTTTACTTTGTCCAGGAGATAAAAATATTAAAATCCTTTTATTTAATTCCTCAAGGTCAGCGTTATACTTGCACAAATCACTTAATAGGGAAAGAAAAAGAATCAAGAAATTGCTATCTTGTATAGGTTCTTTACATCAGTAATCCACACCCCCCCCTTTTTGGTACTGAGATTGAGCTCAGGATTTTGTGTTTGCAAGGCAGGTGAGGTACTACTGGGCTAAATCCCCGGCCAGTAATTCCCTTTTGATGTGACACAAACAGTATGTGGCAGAGAAGGATTCAATTTTAGGGTCTGATTTTATTGACTGATTGATTGAGACAGGGTCTTAGAATGCAGTTCGTGGCCTTGAACTTACAGTGATCCCTTCCAGCTCAACCTCTTGAGTGCTGGGATCATATGCATGTGCCATCACACCTAGCTTGGGGTCTGATTTTAAAGTCCTACATTTTTTCTAAAACCCGAATTGCCAGAAAAGTCTCTCCAGAAAAGGAACTGTGGATGGGAGAATTGATCATTCTTCAATGACAAATCTGAAAAGCATTGCTTAAAAATATTAGAAATAAATATCTACTTAAAGGGATTGGGTAAGCTAAGAAGCAGATGCATAGTGGCATATAGTATTTAAAAGTTATGCTTTTGAAGAAGATTTTTATGCTATGACTAATGTTCAACTCAGCATATATAGGGTGGTTTTACTTCTATTTAAAAATATGATTATACAGGCTGGGGATTTAGCTAAGTGGTTCTGCCACCTGCCTCACAATGCAAGGACCCAAGTTCAACCCCTGGTACAAAAAAAAAAAAAAGATTATATATGGAGAAAAAAGAGACTGGAAGAATTTCCACAAAAACACAAGTAATAGCTATCCCTGGTTGATGAGATTTGTTTAAAATTAACCACTTACCTGTATTTAAAATTTTTCTACAATAAAATTTTCATTTTTTTTACACAGAAAATAGTTTTACTTGTAATATCAAATACTAAGAAATGAAGACATACTAAGGTTAACAGAGATGATGTCATGACACACTTAGGTCTGGAAAGCTATGGAGGGTTAATCCCTGCCCCATCCCACCTGCCCTTCCTTGCTTATGTACCACAGCAGCTCTGGTACATGCCTGACTGACTAAAGTGTCCAGACAACAGAACTTTGGTTACCTCCCATTAGTCCTCAGTGTCTTTTTTTTTTTTTCTTTCCTCTGGGCTAGAAATTGTGTGCTAGTGCATGGCTCTTCCTCAGGAAGAGGTTCTTTCTAATGAGTTTCTTTTTATCTTTTTTTTTTCTATCACTAGCACATTTTCCTTTTCTTCCTCTTTAATTTTAATGGTTTCTTTTTTGTTTTGTTTTCAGTCATTTCATCCTCTATCTACTTGTTCTATTTTGCTTTTTTTTTTTTTTTTTTTTTTTTTTTTTGTACTGGGGATCAAACATGGGTCCTTGTGCTTGCGAGGCAGCCAGCAGCACCACTGAGCTAAATTCCTGGCCCTATTCTGCATTTTTTAAGAACAGGTTGGAAGCATTGAGTCACCAGAGGGATCATATGCCTTCACTTTTGTTTTCATATTTTTCTGCTTTTGCTAATTCCTTTCCTGTTCTACTTTTTTTTGTTTTTTTTTTTTGTAAATCCCTGTATCTTCCAAGCTTCTCAATCTGGTCTCTACTTTGGCTCTATTCTCAATTCCCATTTCTGAACTGGAATCCTTCCTGAAAGCATCATGATGAATAGCCAAAATGGTTTTGGCTGCCAGAATTTGAAAAATCTTTCCTTTGTATTTGGGATTTGTCTGGCCTACAAGGGAAACATGATAAAGAAGATCATATTTAGGAGTGTGCCGCCTAGACTTGAGGGTTCTGAAAAGTGCTTCTTTTGCTCTAAGAATCTCAACTATAGAATCTACATGCCTGGCCATATTCAAAAGAGAATCTGCATGAGCAGTCAGCTGTGCTCCAACTCACTTGCCAACCATGACTGTAACATTGGGTGCAAGTGCCATCATTCGATTTTGGAGATACTCATACATCTGGGTTCTATATTCAATCACTTGGGTGCAAAGATGTAGAATATTGTAACTATCTTCTTCAGAAAGCTCTGTGCCCATAGTTATCTGTGCAGCTGCTTTTACTTCAGCTTCAACTTCCTCTGACAACAATTCAGAAAGCATGGCAGAGGCATAGTTCTTCCTATCTCCAACTTTCTGTAAACACTTGCAGTATGTCAAATTATATGAAATAATTTTTTCTAATTCTGGGAAATGCCAGTCATACCACTCTCTACAATCATCTAACAAGGCAATTGCCTGAACAATCACTGTATCCACTTTATCAGTGCTAAATTTCAGTCTGTATGGAGAGAGGCTGTGGGCCAATCCAAGACACATGGCTGCCATTTCATGTGGTTTTACCCTAGGGATCCATACATTCATCTGTGATCAGATTCCCCTCAGAAGCTCATTAATAGGACATGGATACAGCTGACATTCAGCTTTTCCTTTATGACTCCTCCTAGTTTAGCATCAGCTACAGATAGAAGTTCATGGGCTTCTTTTACTATTTTCTTCAGAACTTTCTTCAGCTGCTTATTGATTTTGCCCTCCATTAGAACTGTGAATGCTGCGAATGCTTTGCTGTATCCTGAAATTTCTAAAAATTTCTTTACTACTGTATTTGCTTTCTTTGGAGTTTCAAATTCTTTCAACAGAGTATCAAATTCTTGAAGTTTCTTCTCATTTAGAATCATAGAGTTGGCGGTAGCCAATGGACATTTCAAATAGCACCAACATGGAGAGGCTGACTCAGGGGCGGTGTAGCCTGCCATGAGCTCATACACCAATACACAATGGGCACTTCTGCAGCCACAAAAGGGCCACTAAGATCACAGCTAACCGAGTACAAATACACATACTTTCCTGCAAAGAATCAGATCAAACTGCCTACATGTTCTGACCCTAAATGCATGCAGAATGCAAGTCTGTGCTTGACCTTCTCCAAGGATTCTTAAAGTAACATTTAAAAAGCATTGCCAATTTCTGTTTTGAGGTCTGCTACTAAATAAGTAAGAAACTCATTTTCTGTAGAGTAACACTATGATTTACTTGAAAATACTGCTGGGTCTATGCAAAACAGGTGGCGAAGCAGACAATAACCCATCTTAGGGGACATTAGAGTGAAAAGTAGATACATAGAAAAAGTCCACTGACTCTGTTATATTATTTTAGAAAAGGACATAAGAACAATTAAGAATCAAGACAACTGATTCAGGAGGTAAGACCAAGATAATTAGATATCTTTTTTATGAGTGTTTTCATTTGCCTGTTTTCTCCTGAATTTTTACCTATGCAAACAACTCAAAATGTGTTTCTCTTAGGCAAATCCTCTCCTTTTCTAGCTACATTCTTTTAATTTTTTTAAATCTCAGAAATAAAATAAAAGTTGGAGGTAACTCCCATGTATGTATTTTGTTTTTGTGGTACTGGGGATTGAACTAAGGGAGTTCTAGCTATATCTCCAACAATTTATTTTTTAATTTAAAAAAATTTGAGACAGAGTTTCACTATATAATTCAGGCTGGCCTTGAACTCATTATGTAGCCAGCCTAGGCTGGCCTTGAACTTGCTGTGACCTTCTTGCCTCATCCTCTCAGGTGCTGGGATTACAGGTTTGCCATCACACCTGATTGACTTCAGTTTTTTTTTTTTTTCCTTTGGTATTGGGGATTGAACTCAGGACCTTGTAGTTGTGAGGCAGCTAAGGTGCCACTGAGCTAAATCGCAGGCCCTGACTTCAAATTTTTTATCCTCCCTCCTCAGTCCCTGGAGGAGCTGTACCACTCTACCCAGCATACTTCTACCTTATTTGTTTAAACCACTTGACAAATTGAGATCACTTCTGACCAAAAGGCAGCATTAAACTTATATAGTTATTTTTGAAAGGATGACTAAACTACTTGCAGATGAATATGCTGATATTCTTGAAGAAAAACTGAAAAATTCTTTAGCAAGTATTCAGAGTAGTTAAATTAAAAAAAATACATTGAAAAAGATCAACATCTTTCCTATATATATGAATTGGTTAGAAAGTAAAGACAAAGGATCTTATTCACACTAGCAAAACAGACATAAACTTTGACCTACAAAAAAACCTAATATTAAGCTCCCAATTTGACTTCACTGTGATAGCCATGGCTCTTTCAGGTGAGCACCTGATGCAAGGAGTACAGTTAGCCTACATCCTCCAGCTGCAGCCTTCAAGGTCTGCCACCCTGTTCATGCAGGGCTCATGCTCCCACCGGGCAGTTCGTCAATGACTCAAGGGTGGCAGGGTCACTGCGTCGAACCCTGGACTCCTCTTCAGAAATCTTGGCACCAGAGATTTATACTGGGTCGACTAAGACTTTTTAAATCTCTTTCTACCCAATTTACTCCCCTTTCTTCTCTCCTTCCACAGACTAAGCCACAGTGGGTTGTAATGTAGGCACCTACTCTGTTCCCAATCCCTTTATTTTTGTTAAATTTCTTGCACTTCACACTCCATTTTTATGTCTTCTATTTGGAGAACCTGAACTAACACAACATTGGAAGTAGTCTGGGAAGAAAACAGTGAGAAGGGACTTGGATACAGGATCACTTATTAGCAAATTTTTATCATTTGTGTTGTGCTTATGCGATATCCCAAGGTCCTGATAGTTTTTGTTTTGTTTTGATTTTGGTGTTGCCTATCCTACTCCTGGCCTCACACATATGACTAGCACATGTTCTACCACTGAGTTGACCCCCATCCCCAAGTGCTTTCACTATCATTATTTTGCTAGATGTCCTCTTGATTCAGAAAGTG